CGCCGCCTCAGTTAGGCTTGGCCTGCTCTCTGCCTTCACGCCGCTCGGGAGGTGGAGGGAAAAGCCGTGGTGAAAGTTCCCCTTCAGATGAAGGGCGTGAGAGGAGCCCCCTTTGGACTCCCCAGCGCCGAGTCAGAGGAGCCCGGCTGGGCCACAAGAGAGAGGCCCGTGGAGTTCAGCCGTCTCCTCCCGGGGTCGTGAGGCACCGGTCTGTGGGGAAACCCACCGGCGGGACCTGGAGGGCAGCCGCTTTCCCCTTGTTGACATGCCTCAGTAGCTGGTTGTTGGAGGCAATACTGTACTGCCTTGTGGTACTGAAAGTAATGTATCATCGTCCTGACTTGGAACCATGGAAGCTTTCTCTTCCATGTTTTGTCAAATCTACAGTATTTTAAAGTTCTCTGAGTTGGAGGCCATCAGCACAAACCTGTGGGAAGTTCCTAAATCTAACTAGGTATTGTTGTGTGAAGAAAGTATTTCCTTTTTTCTGTCTTGAACCCCCCTCCCCCAAACATTCAACTTAATTGGATAATCTCAGGTCATATTATTATAAAAAAAAGGAAGGGCAACATCTCCCTGTCCAATTTCTGTGTCTCTTTTCTTGGCTTTGGGGAGAGGCAGCTCTGCATAACAGCTGATTTTACAAAATTTAGGGAGAATCAAATATTTCTTCCCTTCCTGTTCCCAGCAGTTCCAGGACACCTCCTCAGGCAACCTAATAATTACTTCCCAAACCTTAATTTTAATGTCTACAGATCATTTCTCTCATGTCGTTTTAAACTATAATCATGCAGGCACCATGTCTGCAATGTTGGTAGTGTTTCTAACATCTTGTCTGTAAACCCTCTGCCCATAACATATCTGTTTGAGGGTCATTTCGTGATACCTTTGCATTCTGTGTTTGAGGGTCTACCCTGACAGCCTTGCATTCTCTTCTTACATATAAAAGCATTTATTTATATATAAAGAAGAGCATTCAAAAATGGTGCCCCATGTTCCACTCAGTTATCCATGTAGAATTATCCATTTTTATTTTGATTATATTTTATGGCTTTTGTTATTAATTGTTCTGTGATCAATTTTTTTTAAGTTAGATGGTGTATATGTTTTTAAAATAAAACTATCTAAAATTCTAACATATTATTCAGGGCTTGCCATCATGCTGCCCGACTTTCTCTCAGCACCATATTTTAAAATAAATTGCTCCTCCTGTTTTAGTATTCTGTGCCAAACTAAATGCAAGGGATCCACTTGTTCTTGAGTAAATTTTGGGTGTTTTCTTATTTTAGGTTGTAAAAGACAAGTGTGGAGGAGGGATGCAGGACCTTTTTGCTCCAGCCACTCTCTCCCCCTTCTTGCCTCTAAAACCAAAAATGAACCATGAACAAAGAAATGTGTGAGAAGACATAACACTTGTGAGAAAAGGCAGGTTTGGTACTAGACAAGGGACTCTATGGCGTCCAGTTATTATTAATTCCAGTTCCCATCAGGTGCAGCAAAGCTGGTTAAAGAAGAGGAAATTGGAAATGGCTGATCAACCTTAGGAAGGCTACAGTTTCCCACGTCCCTTATTTAGTATATGTTTCCTGTACACTTCTGTTTTTTTAAAACATTAAAGAAGGGTTATGCTTTATGGTGTATAAAAGAATAAGAGATACTGTATATGGAAAGGGTCATGGGAAATGTCTTTATCATGAGTCAGTCTATTGGTTCATTAACTTACTGACTAGTAGCTGCTCTCCAGGATTTGAGAGAGGAGCTCTTTGATAGCCCTACTTTGAACTGCTAGGTGTAGAACTAGGGAATCCTCTACATCAGTGGTCCCCAACCTTGGGCCTCCAGATGTTCTTGGACTACAGCTCCCAGAAGCCTTCACCACCACCTCTGCTGGCCAGGATTTCTGGGAGTTGAAGTCTAAGAACATCTGGAGGCCCAAGGTTGGGGACCACTGCTCTACATGCACAATATTCCAGTGGAGATGATATGCTCCCACCCCAGAATCGCTAGGAAGGGGCTGGCTCTGCTCAAGATATAGCTCACTAAACACCATTGGAGAAGCAACACATGCCTTTATAGGAGATTGGATGCAGGGCAGGGAGGATACAAGTAACTCCAGAGCAGAGCTGAGAGATATGAGCATAGGAGAAGCCTTAGGCAAGACACTAAGTGTACATGTAGAGTGGAACAGGCATAACAGGCATTTTGGAAGGTGTACTTGCTAAGTACTGTAAAATAATTTTTCAGAAGCAGAAAATAATCTAATAAACAATCAGTATCTATTCTTGTTAAAAGAAAAAACAAACCAAAATATACCATTGTGAAACTGCATTTATTCATAATACTAAACTGTAGTTTCCATTTACAGAGTCAAACTTGTATTGACCTCAGGCTTCAGGCTTATATAACATTTCCTCCTCCTCTGGCTTGACTGTGAGGAACAATTCTGAAACTGCAACTTCTGTCTTTTATAGACTGCAGTGTAGCATATTGACTCAGCTCTAAACTGTGGTTAATGTTAATTATGGCTGTAAAATAGGACATCATAAAACATTTTTTGAAGATGCCTTGTTAATTGTAAACCATAGTTATGATCAACCACAGTTTGTTTCTATTCAGATAGAATAGTAACTGATGTTCGCTGAAAATGTCAGCAAAACCTAAACTACTTGGAGATGCATCAAAGAGGAGGATCATGAGAATCCACTGCTTACACATGTTCAGTCTTGTAATGCTAGTTGTATTTATGTTTCATGTAAACACAGCTATAAATGAAAACAAAGGAAATTCCTAGTTGCTGTTTTACCAGATCTGTAGCATGAAGAGGCAGTGTCAAAAGGAGGGAGGAAATTAGAGATGGGGGTATTTGTATACAAATATCCCCCACAGGTGGAAATAACAAAGGTCTGGCCCCATGGGGCCAGACTGTCCACTCGCCATTCCGCCGCTGATGCGAGCTCGATGGAGCCTTCCTATAATTTATTTATTTATTTATTTATTTATTTATTTATTTATTTATTTATTTATACCCCACCCCTCTAGACCATGTCTATCATGCTGTTGTCCGCAGTAGATTAGCCACTCCTGGCAGGAGGCGGGGAGACTGCCAGGTCGCAGAGTGGCTAATCCATTACAGACGATGGTGTGATGGGAAGGCTCCATCAAGCTCGCATGATGAGTGGACAATCTGGCCCAATGGGGCTGAACCCTTGTTATTTCCACCTGTGGGGGGATATTCGTATATGAATACCTCCATCTATAGAGGAGTTCATTCCACTAGTGTACGTTCTGCTGCTAGATGGCTATCATTGACTAGAAATGTAACTTACTGAAATTAGCTTCCCAAAAGCAGGTGGGATTTGGAAAAATTAACAAATTAGGAAATGAATTCGAAAATGGGTCTCATTGTTTTGAAGTACAAAATTTTATAAAAGCTTTATTTTCTGCATTTTGTTCTTTAACTTATGAAAGTTGCTGTTTTGGTACAATTAAAGTTGAAGAAATCGTAAGAAATTTGAGATAAAAATTGAAAGAAAGAAGTTCTGAGAGAAGGCTGTTTGTAATAGCCTCATGGAGAAACATCCGTTGATTTGTCTGGTTTTATTGTTAAATGTTGGAGGGCTAAACTGAACATTATGGTGGCAGATGCATTTGCTTTCCTTGAAAGAAGAAATAAGACATGCGCAAGTCTTACTTTAGCTGTAAAAGATGTGGATCCTTCCCTGTTCCTATACTGTATCTCCTCTCCTGTTGCTCCAGCCACCTTTCTCCATTTGTGGTCATATATCAGAACCAAGAAAGGGGAAAACATGTTCACAGCAACAGATTATGGGGAAATGAGGGAAGTACAGTAGCTTTAGGATCCTTCTTTTGTGCACTCCTGTTACTGCTAAGGTGAGACTTCCTTTTCTACCCTTTGCTTCTTTTTAAAATGGGTAAACATGTGACTAACTGTCCTTTCACATCAAGGTTGATTTTGAGTGCACTGTAGCATATATTGGATTTAAACAACCACCACACTGTAGGTGAAAATGTGTGTCGTATTTTACATATTTTAGTCAAAATTAATATGTTTGCATTTCCTTTCTGTTTTATGTCAGAAGCAGATATGGTTTGCATTAATTTTTCTGGCAGTTCATTTCAAATAGCTAA